TCGTCGTTTTTCCCGACACAGAAAAAAATTGTATATTATACACGGGAAAAATAGTAGCTTTTAGCTTGAGGTTGTATTGTCTCTGACGCGCAGTACTAGTACTTTTTCGCTTGCATAATAAATAACTAATTTTATCCTTGTAGCAGTAATCTTGTGTTAAAATTTCATACAAATCCGAGCAGTACTTTCCAAGTTAAAAACGGTCCAAATATTAGCGGACGGACAGACAGACCGACAGACAGACGGAAATAAGTGACATGGTTTTTCGTGATGTGCATTTCATATAACAACCAAAAACAATATCTCATTTTCGAAATTTCTCAAGATTACAATGGTAACGGAAGTGAAAAACAAGAAACTTTGCCCACAGCGACAGATAAAGGTTTTTTAATTTCTTAAAGTTGTTGAGTCATGTTAAAAAACATCCAACAAATATGATTAAGAAGAAATATCGAGTTTTCCTACAAGTGCAAGGTTTTGGCCTCGTCTAATATGAAACTCTTCGCTACTTTATAACTTGCACAAAAAAGGTCTCAAAATTTGTATAGCTATCACAATATTACACTACTCCTGTCCAATAAGTACCACGACAAACTTAAGGAGAAGGTAGTGTCACCGTTTTTGAGATATTGATTTTTTTCTTAAATTTAAACAAACGAACCTTTTCATCTGTGGTCTTTAGCTGCATGTCAAATAAGGTTATACTTTGTTCATTTTTTCTATGAAATATTTCTAGATAGTTGCTTTATCATATATACTAAGTGACATATAAATCCGAACACCCAGTTTAAATGGTTTTATTTTAATAAAAGTTGGTGAATGTATTTCTCTTACTGTAAATAACAAGTGACAAAATTTTCAGCCTTATCAGTTGGACATTCCGGTTTTTATACTGCTTTTTTTTAATTCACTAACGCTCTAAAAATGAATATTTCAGCCGCAGTAAAGAATCAACGTTGGCGGATTTTCGTTCTTGACATCCTTTACGATCGGTTACGATGCCTAGAGTACGGAGACCTGTACGATTTCGTCAACTTAGTGAGTTTGATAGGAGCCGTATAGTGGGACTTCGGGAAGCTGGACTTTCTTTTCGGGCAATTGCAGTTAGAGTGCAAAGAAGTGTAGACACTGTGGTTAGGTGTTGTCAGGCATGGCTTCGAGAAGGCCGTACGCAAAGACCAAGGGGCACTGGACGCCGCCGTAGAACAACAGACCGTGAAGATCGCCGCCTAAGATTATTGGCCTTAAGGGACCGTTTCTCCACTACCAGGTCCATTGCAAATGAATGGTTTGCAGAACACGGAAGACCTATTGGCATGCGAAGTGTTTACCGACGAATGAGAAGTTTTGGCTTGTTTTCATACCGGCCACACTGGGTCCTCCCTTTAACTTTAAGTTATTATTTGCATCTTGTTATATGTTTATCGAATCAGTCGTCTTAATTTGAACCACAAATAACCTGGTCAATCGAACCACATCTGTTTCAAATTCTCATTTATTGTATACGTTCAGGTCACAACAGTGACCTTCTGCAGTAGATTAAAGTAAAATATTGTCAAAAAGTATCAATGTATTAAAGAAGGTTGCAATTGTGACCGAAACGTATACAATGAAGAATTTTAAACACCTGTGGTTCAATTAACCAGACAAACATGGGGATCACAAATAAGTGTCTTTTAACTTTGCTTCACTATGTCCAAAGATAAAATTTAATTAATCATTTTGTACTCATGCTTCGGAATTTTTGATAATTGCAGACATCTATAAACTGCTGTGCATATTGTATTTTGGCGACTTTACAACGGTAACATCATTCCTAGTAAAGGGAATAAAATAGAGATACATTTGTGAATCAAGGATGTCTTGATGGCAGTCATAATGTATGATGTAACACTCAATTGAATAGCTTCAAAGTGATCAACTCGGCTAGCCTTAAAAAACCTTGAACACTCGCGTTAGTATATGTTTTATTGTGCTACAACGCTTTATGGAAAATAATACTAGATTTTTGCGGCTATGTATAGTATATGTACAGGCATGCAGGCAGCAGCGGTGGCCGCAGTAGTAGACCCTTCGGTCTCCTGATCAGCCGCCGTGCGCTGTGCGGGTTCGAGTCCCGTCCCAGGAGAAATGTTTCTCTTGGCCATGGATGTTGTGATTGTCCGTAGGTGGTAGATGGTCTCTGACTGTCGAACGCGGAGGTACCACCCGGCGGTTCTCGTAGGCGGAGCCAGAATGTGTGCATGTTGCATGCACACGTGTTCCCTCGTCAGAGTCCGTGTGGCGTCCCCCCTTTCCCATGTATCCCCCATAGCCCCACGGTACCCAATGGGTGCTTAAGCCTTAGGCCTTCGTGGTAGTTGGAGTATAAAAAAAAAAAAAAAAAAAAAAAAAACTCGAGAACACCGACGTAATCGCCTTGAGTGGTGCAGACAACGGTCACTCTGGGATCAGGAATGGAACAGTATTGTCTTTAGTGACGAGTCTCGATTTTGTTTAGGCATGCACGATGGTCGTGCCAGGGTTAGAAGGCGACGTGGTGAAAGGAGGAATACACAGTTTTTTGTTGAAAGACATGTTCATCACACTGTTGGAGTTATGGTTTGGGGTGCTATAGCTTATAGTTCCAGGTCACCTTTAATCTTCATCAGAGGTAACATGAACGGGCAGCGTTATATCCACGAAGTTCTAGAACCCCATCTTTTACCCTATCTTGACACCCTGGCAGATCCAACTTTCCAACAAGATAATGCCCGACCACATGTTGCAAGAGTCACAATAGACTTCTTTCAACATAATGATGTCACATTGTTACCATGGCCACCAAGATCTAGCGACTTATCCCCAATTGAGCACGTGTGGGACATAATGAGTAGGAGATTGCTCAATTTGCAACGTCCTCCTCAGACTCTAGAAGCACTTCGAGAGGAGTTGGTGGTTGCCTGGAATGAGATACCAGAGGAGGACATTGACCACCTGATCAGAAGCATGCCTAGGCGCGTTGGAGAATGCGTAGCACATCAGGGTGCATCCACACATTATTAAAGGTCAAAGGGCTTTAAAGCAGTGCAATCATTTTGAAATTTTTATCATTTACTTATTATGCTTCATTAAGTACTTATACAAAATTTTATTAAAATAAAACAATTTAAACTGGATGTTCGGATTTATATGTCACTTAGTATACAAATGCAATGTAGTTAAAAGATATTAAGGAATCATGATCAAATAAGGACTATTTTGGGATTATGATATTTTTTCCTCAACTTTGACCATCTGTGGTGAAACAAAAATGTACTGGGCTAAAACTGCATTATATTGAATAAAAAGATTTCTCACTGAATACAGATTTCAGAAAGACACCACACGTACTATTTGGAATAGAAAAAAGTGATAGCTGCTTTTGTAAGTGACTGACACACACTACAATGTAATTATTGGATTTAAATTCAAGTTGCACTGGTTACAGATCAATGACATGCTAAATAGTACAAAGCTACATTACTATTACCTGCTCCTGATATGATTTTATGAAACTTACTGAAATTCGGACTCGAGTTAGTAACAATACAAAAGAATTATTTTTGTACAGGACTAACCCGCACATCCGCGTGAAATAAAGCACAAATTGTTTGAGGAAAAAATGTATTCATTTATTGACAAAATATGCTCAAATTGGCGACCTCCTTCTCTAATACAAGCTCGGCATCTCTTAAGAAAAGACGCTTTTAGAGTTCTCAGATCCAATTGGGCTATCTCAGCAGCAGCTTGATGTATTTGTTCTCCCAAATGTTCTTCGTTTTGAACTGGTTTTGAATAAATTTTTTCCTTAAGACAGTCCCAGTAGAAGAAATCCAATGGATTCAGGTTTGGTGATCGAGCAGGCCACGTGATTGTCCCCGATCGTCCAATCCACCGGTGGGGATAAGTCTTGTCTGAATGAGCTCACACTAATTGAAAAAAAAATTAAAGAAAAAATTCAATATCACAAAGACACTTTTATATAGATAAGTTATTGTTATTTGGGAGGTCAGTCGAAAGCCTACCTACTCCTTAAGTTTGTCGTGGTACTTATTGGACACCTTACCCTGTATAATAATAATAGATGCTTGTACTTTCTGGACTCTAATATATAAGCTAAACAGACTATTTTTCCCAGGCACTATCTCAAATCACCTCCCCCATAGAACAGCTCGTGATTGAGGGATGTCTAGATCAAGTCATCCCGCCAGAATACAACAAACTTGCAATCACTGTGCCAGTAAAGTTAGTTGTGATGGACGGCATACCTTTTGGCCATAAAAGCGATTCCATGGGAGCAGCCTGCAAAGTTGTGAGGAAGAAGATTCTGGAGAAAACCAAGATAATGAAAAATGTGGAAAGAATTTTGGATCCAGTTACTGGCGAGGTGGACCATTTGAAATTCGCCTATTTGCAGTATGTAAGTGTAATTTTCTGATGTATGGTGTACCATTAAAAGTATGTAAGTATTATCTCTTGTATGGAATAAGGTCTGTCGGGGCAACCGGGCCACGAGTTTACAACGTCTAATGCTTGAAGTCAATTATTAATAGCCTTCAAACATACTATTTAATTTAGCAATAATTTGTAATTTTTATGGTATGTTTATACTACATACCACTTAACGAAAACCTATATTAGCAGCAGATACTATTTTTCTTACTTTAGAAAAAAACATATTATACAACAAGAACATGTGGATCCAGTTACCCCAGCTGAAGGGGATAACTCTGGACCTACATATATTCATCAGCGTTCCTTTGATGTTAAAACTAGCTGGGATATTTGGGCCTATTTCTACACAAACATATAACTTGGAAAAAATATGCCAGCTTGTATAATAAAAACTCTTAATGTCAGAAGCAATGTAAAGGATCCATGCAAAAATACTCCCAATAAAAGACACTTTAATTTTAAATATTTTATTGAGTTTTACAAAACCAACAAGGAACAACAATTTTCCAATTAGTGTACTTCTCAAGAGATATGATAAAACATTTAAAAAAATCAAAACATGCTTAGGTCAGAGAGATCAGTATTGAAACTTATCATGTCTTTAAATCGGGCTGAGCTACTTTTAACTGGTTGTGATAACTTGCGAACAAAATCTTGATTAGCTATCAAGGATTCTTCACCCGTCTCGAAAAATTTCATGGATTGACACAGCCGTTTAAAAAACTTTAAGGACGACCTTGGAATATGGTAAAATATGGCTGCGCCTCTAATGGTTCTATTTCCATTTTGTACATCATCCAAAGCTTTCTGCAGGTCTTCTTCGGAATATGTCGGACCCGCTCCTTTTGCCGTCTTTCTCACGTACGTACGCACCATTCTCTACAAAATATTAAAATAATTAATATAAAAGATAATTATGGGGTATCGGGGCATACCTAATTACCCTAAGCATATGGCCCAGATACCCCATTATGATTAAAAATTTGGGGCAACTGGGACACCCCTTTCACAAAGCAACACTTGGAATTGAGGACGTTCTTAAGCACAAAAATAAATCGAATATTGCCTAAATATACATCAAAACACAAAATAGGTCAAATCATTCTTACGTTGTATTAATTTTTGTGACTAATAACAATGCATGTAGCACGATGTTCACAGATTAAAACTCGTTGAACTATCACGTTACGAATAACACTCAAAAATGGCTGTCAGCTGTGTTTGGGAGTTGCTTAACATTGTCAGCACCGTCGCCTACGAACGTCAACTGTCAAAACTAAAACAATTCAAACGATATGGCGGGAAAGACACCGCGGCCCAGTTACCCCTCGGGTCCAGTTGCCCCGACAGACCTACAGTGTAACCCTTTCCTTGATGAAGGGGAGCAAAGTTGTTAGATCTTGAACTAGATTTTCAAACTAGTAGTATATTCCCACGTTCAAGAAATCATCCGAATTGAAATGAACTACCGTAGCGTCATCTATGAGAATTTGTCACATCTATCGTTGTCCTCTTCGTACTAATTAGAAACCTACGTTCTAAATTAGAAACATAACCGTGAAAAATTATCATGGATTACGCTACTGAATCTCATTTCGCCTCGGATAAGTTTTAGACGCGAGAATATAGTATTAGGTTGGGTATCTTCAAATAGACTACGTCAATCCATTCACTACGATTTTGCGAAAAAAATTGTAGCTTTATAGGTAATATGGTCATTTGCCTACAAGATATGCCAATTAGAGCGCATAAAATATTTTGAGAAACTAAAAACCTAAGACGTGAACTCGTTCTGCTGCGGTCTATGCGCTTGTCGTTTGAAATAATTTGGTATGATCTTGTGAATATAGATTATTGGTTGAATCTATTGTATACATAGATATAAGTATACAACTTTGTAGAAATAGTTTACATTGAAATGATACAGGACATCAAAGAATCAGGGTCTATAGCGGATTTTTTAGCCCTGGAAGTAACTCAAATTTGAAGTTGAACGCATCTATGATTTCTTTGCATTTAAGTATCTTAGAACATGCAGGTTCATTTGAAAACTTGCTACCACGGATTTATCGAAAACCACTGGTTAGACACGTCAAAAGATTTGTCAAGGGGGACAAGTTTTTAGCCAAAACTCCTTCCACTTTCACCCTTTGCCCCCCAGGGTCATCCCCTTAAAAATTTTAAATTCAAATTTCAATATTTCGAAGTGGAAAATATGTTCAATGAAAATAAAATGAAAGAAATTACAGTCATTGAATTCACAAAATTACGAGAAACACTTTTACAACACAATATACCTGAAATTATCGATAATGCCGACAACAACTTCGAACAAATTATGAATAATATGGATAAATGTATTAGTGAAGCTATGGTCAAGAAAATAATATATGAAAGAGTGAACCCAACACCCTGGTTTTCACAGATATTCAAGGAGTCTAACTTAAAACGCGATACCGACTACAGAAAATTTTCAATAACCCAAAGTGAAAATGATTGTAAACAATATACAAAATCAAGAAATGAGTGTGTAGCAGTTCTCAGGCGGGAAAAGGAAAAATACTATGATAAGAAGATCGATAGCAATAAAAATAATTCTAAAATGATGTGGAAAACATTAAAGAATATTGTTTCTCCTAATAGAAAGACTGAATTGACTGAAAATGATTGGAAACAATATACAAAATCAAGAAATGAGTGTATAGCAGTTCTCAGGAGGGAAAAGAAAAAATACTATGATAAGAAGATCAATAGCAATAAAAATAATTCTAAAATGATGTGGAAAACATTAAAGAATATTGTTTCTCCTAATAGAAAGACTGAATTATCTAAAATGCGTTTCGAAGATGGGGTAGTGACAGACAAATTAATTGTAGCAGAAAGAATGAACACTAAAGCATCCCACAAACCGGCGCGAAATATTCGCTTTGGCTGCGAAAATTTCGCGGCGATGAATTCGCGATCAGATTAAAACGCGGCGGTTTACGGACAGGCTCAGACTTGTGCGAAGCGAATGCTATTGTTCCAGCGTTTTTATCGCGACGTATTTCAGTTCGCCTTTGACCGCGTTTTTGACGCCGTTCTTCAAAAATTCGCAATAGCAAAAACGGAATTATTGATAGAAATAGTGAAAAAGTATCCTTGTTTGTATGATTTGTCGAACGATGAATACAGGAATGTGAGAAAGAAAGACAAGATTTGGATGGAAATAGGAAAAGAATTAAATACAAATGGTATGTACCTAATATTTTTTATTAACTTGTTAAATAATTTACAGTCTACACAAATGTGAAAACGAACATTCTATATATTGGGCATAGGCATATCAGAATTAAAATAATTTACGAATTTGTCACGAGTAGAAAATGCTAGCCTTGCTGCCCGCCGAGGATCATTTGCTATATAAGTAAAAGCTCCAAGCACGGCTTCTGGGGGATCTAAGAATTGAAAATATTTGTCATCGCCACTTTTACTTCGTAAAAAATTGTGTAAAACACATGCCGTACGTACAATTAGAATAGTAGTATCTACTTTAGTTTCTAATGGCCTGTAAAATATTCGCCATTTTTGAGACAAAATACCAAACGCATTTTCCACGACCCTTCTAGCTCGACAAAGTCTTACATTGTATTTCTCTTTTCTGGCGTCTGTTAAAGTCTGCTTATAAGGAAATGGTCTCATAAGGTATGGTTTTAAAGCAAATGCTTCATCACCAATTAAGACGTACGAGCAGATTTCATTTTGCCCAGGGAGAAATCTAGGTGCAGGGACACTCATTAAATTTTGTTCAAATCGTTTTCCCATGTTTGAGGTTTCGAAAATACCCCCATCACTATTTTTTCCGAAACCACCAATATCAACACATAAATTTATAGTCCGGGCCAACAATGGCCATAAGTACTATTGAATATTTATGTAAATAGCACCAGTAATTGGAGCCACTGTTGTTAGGTCTCTTGATTGTTACATGTTTACCGTCCACGCTGCCAATGCAATTGGGAAATCCCCATCTATTTTCAAATTCTTCAGCACATTTTTTCCATATATTCTCTGTTGGTTCTGGTAAATATATATGCTCCATATGTCTGCATATCGCTTCACAGACTTCGGTTACGATTGCACTCACTGTTGTAAAGCCAACTCGAAAGCTATGCCCAATGGTATAGAAGGTGTCAAGGTGGCAAGGAATCTATAAAAAAAATCGTTTTTAGGTGATGAAGTAAAACAAAGGTGGAAGAATATCAGAGACACATTTGCAAAATATATAAAATCTACCAAACCAAAGACCGGCCAAGCAGTGGGCAACATAAAAAAATGGCAGTGGGCTGACTACATGGAATTTTTCCGTCCTTTTTTGGCGTTTGCCAAAACGTCGTCTAATGTGAAAGATATTGACGTCATACATTATGAGACTGCCGAATTTAACTCAAATATATATCAGGAAAGGGCTGGAAATGTAGAAACCGAAAATTTGGAAGACCGCGGCCATGGAGAAGATGAAAATGCTGATGTAGATGCAGAAGATGCACAGAACGCCTCGGCAACACAGACAGCACCACCTTCTTCATTGAACACTACAGCACTGACTACTCCAGGGCACACCTTTCCGCAGACTGCAACTACACCAAAACATAAAACGAGCAGAAAACGCTATGAACCACCATCTTCGTCTGTACAGCTCATTAATTATTTTGAAGGTAAAAAACCTAAAAAAGAGAACGAGGCCATTGATTCACTTTTCTTGGCACATGCACAGACTGTGAAAACACTTCCCTTAAAGCATCAAGCCCGAATAAAACTAAAAATAGCCGAATTAATAGCGCACGAAGAATTTGAACATATTGAAGAAATGTCTTCAGCGTCTACCCAGAATTCTGCAAGTATGTATGATAGTAGTATGTCGTCCTTCCCAAGCGGCACTGGGTTTACTCCAATAATATACCCAACAGAGGAGGCAAATTCTGCCTCGAATTATTTAGCACCATTTAATCCTAGTGGCAACATGTAGTCCAATTATTACAATAAAATATTTATTTCACGATCCCTGAAGTTTTCGTATTCGATAAGCCTACTAATTTTTATACATATAATTTTTTTACCCGAGTGTAATAGCAAGTCGTTCTTCTGGCGAAATAGCTTCACGATAATTTGTGTCAGATTTTCGTATTTCATCTTTCACCAAGTTCAATATTTCATCGAAACACTCTGGAGTCATTCTAAAATATACGTAAAAGCGCTGTTCATCCAGCCGAAGTTGTGGCATCAAAGTATGGTATTCCCCAAATTTATTTCGTTCCAAGTTAATATCATGTACCCACTTCCTTCGTTTCCTAAACAAAATTGAAAATATTTGTTTAATATACTTCGTTAAACTTAATACATACCCAACTATCAAATGGCGTTAAATAAACATAACTTACCGTGCATTTTGTTCCTCTTCTAAAGCAAGAAATAGAAGTGCCTCCTCTTCTTCTGAAGAAGAGCTCATTGCAAAAGGCAAAAATAAAATGTACGCAACCTGTTGAAACCTTCACGTTCGCGGAGCGAATAAGACGCTTTGGTATGAATAAACAGGCGAAACCGATTGCGAATTTCGCTCTGAATTTCGTTGCGAATACTTCGCCGCGATTATTTCGCGCCGGTTTGTGGGATGCTTTATTTTATAGAAAGTGTACATCAAATAGTGAAGACGATTGATGTCGGTGATCCAAACTTATGTCCATTACAAGTATGTCAGAATCCACACTATTCGTCATTTATTTGTGTGGGCGGTCCGTAGGACCTTTGCCCATTAGTCACTGTCAGATGTACGTTAGTCGAATCTGTCAGCCCTGGTTGCCCAGAAACCAGACAAAGTCAGGGGTCAGAATTCATCAATG